CTTGACAATTTTTTGTTTTTGGGCATATCTGTGGTCTTAAAACAAAGAAGAAAAATAAAATCCTGCCCAGTAAGCGGTAGATAATTCTGTAAATGTTGCTGACAGTCTATATACAGAATGAGGTTAATGGAGGAGTAAGAAGGCGAGAAATGGAAGATGATTATGATGTTGCTGATGATGAAGGCTAAAATAAAAGTGATGAAGATGTATACAAGGTGAAAAATCATTGTTATTTAACTTTTTTTGTTTGATTTTTGCTGGCTTGTGTTAGATTTTTTGGCAAATACTGTTTCCTGATTTGTTCTGCTCTCTTTAGCACAGATTACTGCTTAAACCTTGAACAATTTAACGAGGAAGGGCAATTTTTGGTACCCGAAATCTGATACTGGATTACTTTTTGGCAGTCAGTTTATAGACCAGGGATTTTAATTAGTGTATGTTGGTTTTTGTTGCTGTATGTTAGTTTTTGGTTGCTTTTTTTCTTGTTTCTGTTGCTGATGTTTGTTGTTGTTGTTGTTGTTGACTATAATAATGGCGATGATAATGATGTTGGTGATGATTACGTAGAAAGAGCATTTAGTCATGTATTTGTGTTATGTCTGAGTTATTGTTGAAGCCAAACTACTGGTGCTATGCTTGCTTTTTTTTTCCGCACTTATCCATTCATTCATTCCGTTCAGCTTTTAAAATTATGGTTTGTTCAAATATTTGAAATAATACTAGTCTGCACAACGGCAACAACGGGATCGTCAACAATACCGGTATCAGAAGGCGGTAGCGACGATAGTTTCATCATTGGTTTCAGTTTCAAAAAGCTACAGCAACAACAGCGGTGATTGAGTGGTCAAAACAGAAGTGAAAAAAAAGAGGAAATTAAAATACCGTGAATATTTTTGAAGAATATAAAACAAGGTTCTTCTTTTTTTTTTCCCGGTATAATTCATTTATACCAGGAGACAGATTATATCGATGAGATCACTGAGCTCAAATTGGCTGTTATAGTTTCGTGAATCATTTTCTTTTTTTTCTTCGGAATTTTTAATAATAATATTGTTCATTCTATCACTTTTCCTACTTTTGCAACTTTTTTTTTTCTTATTTTTATGTTTTTTAAGTTCTTTTTTTTTTTTTTTTTT